AAAGAACTATTAAAAACAACCCCAGACTGAATAAACCAATATTTTTATACTTTTATAAACAATTAGAGTATTATAGCTGGAAATATTGAACAATGTTAAGTCTTTAAGTATGACATTTATTACCAAAGTACAGAATCATATGTACACACGTGTGTACATATATACACACACACATGTGTAGTTCAGAAACACATTAATATCAGTTACACTGGCATATTATTTGCTTTGAGTAAACTAGCTAAGTAGGTTGATAAGGGTTTAAAGTCTCCTGGTGATAAACTTACAAAGGTGTGTCTCAAGCTAGTTTTTCACAGATAGATCTTGGTCAGAGCTGAGCATGTGGGGTGATCCTCTGCACTCTACTTGATGATAAGTGGGACTTCCCAGATTAAAAGAATGAAATTACAACAATACTTATTTGAATTCCTGATACATTTGAAGCCAGAAGTAAAAAAGGTACCAGTAGGGCAGCTCAGTAGAAGGTAGGGAAAAATCTCTGGAAGCAGATAACATTCTCATTTGCTGAGTCCCATTCTGTACTTAAGCCCTGTTAATCCCTTCAAAAAGACAACTGCAAATACATACATACTGATATGTGCATGCGTACATAGAATGTGAGAGGGGATGACGTGTAGAAACCCCCCAGCAACAGCCAGAATAAAAAATGAACAGGAAAAACAAGCTCTGCTCTATGCAGCTCTGAGTGTGCTGTTCTATCAGGGCAAATTACAAGAGCAAGACCCTTGCTCAACCAAATCTACAGCCCTCTTATTCATCTGCAATTTGTGATGGACGGACAGGAGGGAGTGAGACCCCAGAAACTGGAGCCTTAGCAGGCAGGCTGACCTGGTCCATGAAGTGGAAAATCACGAATGGATTAGGAACCTCAAGCAGGCTGCAGACAGCCAAGTGCTAGAAGAGCCGTCTGATCTTGGGTTGTATTGCCAACAGGGAACAGGGTCTGACATCATCTCATTTGCAGCAGGAAGGGCTGAAAGGTGCTAGATGGGAACAGGAACAAGCTCAGTGGGGGGACAACATATGAGCTAGGCTGGGCACCACTGAGGTAAAAGTTGACAAGGTTGTCCTACAGAATAGCATACTTCACTGTAGTGAGGTAGGTACAAAGTCTGAATTTTCATGGTCATTTCGTGGTCATTTCAGCTCTCCATTACTGATCAGGTCCATCAGATTTCTTTCTGGTCTCAGCAGCTGTAGTGCTACCTTCCTCATTGTCACCATTAACCTGCTTGTTATTCTCATTACACCACCTATTATGCCTGTCTTTTAGCTTCTCGTTCTCTATTTCATTCCGTGTCATCTCTTGTCTAACCGCCTGTCTTTTAGCTTCTCGTTCTCTGTTTCATTCCGTGTCATCTCTTGTCTAACCTTCCAACTTTTTTCATCTATGATTTCTCAGGTAGTATAAAAAGCTCAGCTTTACTTTCTGATGAGTTGTAACCCTTGCTACAATTAGCCCCTGTTAACAAACAAATAGCTCCTGCTTTCTCCTCTGCTGCCCCCAATATTTGGATGAAGTTTATGAGAAACCTACAGAGCCATTACATTATTCATGTAAAATCGCTCCTTAAAGTCTTCCTTTCCAGGGATGCCAGCTCCAGTTAGGATGCCAGTGTACTAAAACTGTTACCAACCAGTCCACAAAAGAGCAAGTGAAAGGAAGAGCCAATTTGGGGATGAAAAGAACCAAAGTGATGAGAAATAAAAGAGCACATGGGAAAAGGCAGCACAGAGTCTGACAGAAAAACACTCCCAGAGAGAGGCAGGAAACAGCAACCCGAGGAAAAGAGGCAGAGCCAGGGCCATGGGAAATAGAAAGGCTGTGTAGCTTGCTCTAAAAATGTTGTGGAAAAGGTAGGTTGAGAATTGGACTGAAAAAGATACAAAGTATAATTCAGTGAAGTAAAGACGAGAAATACACATTCAAGGAAATGGGCATAGCAAACTATCCAATATGTTACCACAGTCATTTAAAGAGGAATGAGATTATATGCATTGCAGTAACTTATGCACTGGAACCCAACCCTTACTATGTGATCAAACTTGTCTCTCTTTTCTTTCCTGCTGCTGTAGCCAGAAAGGCCCTGGACATTAAGTATGGAGAGGTTCAGTGAAGAGACCTGGCTTGTGGTCCTGCTCCTGCTGCAGCATTGCTGGGACAGGGACTGGCAGCCTGAGGAGGCTGTGGGCAGGGTAGGGGCAGCCCCAGGCGATTGGGCAGGGACAGTTGGTGCCCTGTTGTTGCTACATCTGGTAATGGACTGTGTGGCCTTGCATAAACACTTTATTCCAAATCCCATGCAAGCATCAACTGCCATTTAAAACACTGCAAAACCAATCATAGGAGAGCAAACTTCATCACTTTATTTTAGGGAATCTAGATGAACCTAAGAAACCTGGAAAGGACAAAGAAAGGGAGAAAGGGGAGTATGGAAGAAAAGTTTAGAAAGATGCACACTAGCCATGGAGGCAATGAATGATCTCCTCTCAGGCATGTTTCTTGGGAAATGGGCCTCAAAAATCCCTCTGCTTTTCTCATGTATATAAGTAACTCTCTGCCTTTTCATATGTATTACTGTTCCCTCCCATTTTTCTCTTCTCAGTTATTGTCAGTAATAGCAATCTTTTCCTTACCATTCAGTCTGCCCACCTTGTCTCAGCCCTAGATCCTCTTTGTCCCCTCCTGCTTTTCACCTCCCTGTGCAAACTTGATTCCTTCATTCCTGCCATTGCACACCAAACAGCACAGCCAGAACTTTTGTAAACAGTACACAGCCCCAGGAAACCTCCTGATGGATGTTCACCTCCTTATAGCCTTGTATCTCCTCCACTAGTACCCCTAAACCATAGTTGATGACAGCTATAATATCTCTTTCTCTTTTTAAACTCTAGCAAATACAAAATGTTTCTGCTTAAATTACTTTCCTTTTTGATCCCATGCCTTCCATCTTCTTCTGTCATTCTAATCCAGGTTTTGAACCTCATTTTCAGAATCCAACAGTGGTTTTGTCTGAAACCATACCTCTACTCTCATTTCCCTCAGCTCTTCCTTTTTATACTCCTCCAAAGGCTTCTTTACAGGAATCATGTACAAGTCCTAACACCAGTGATTTGGTGTCTGCACTTTTACAGAACTAACCTCGTCACCTGAAACATCCTGACCCTTACTGACAAAGTGTGCATATACCACCTTCCCCCTACATAAATCTAGGCATATTTTTTCTGTCCTTTCTGCTCTCCTCTGTATTGCAGGGCAAGATGTTCAACAGAAATGTTACATTTAAAACACATTTTTATGAAACATGTTTTTACATCGTAGTATGACACATGCAGTTTCAAACCTTAAGAAGCTTGGACACAGTAGGATTAAAGTTATGAGCTAAATCACAGAGAGCATAAGATGAAGTATTTGCTGGATTTTGGCAAAACAGTATTGAAACTAAAGACCTGACATTTCAGAGTATTTGACATTATAGTATTACCCTAAGTTAAAATTAGTCTTGCTGATTCAGTTAGAGATACAAATGCTCAAAAGATCTGCAAATTTGTTTTCCAGAGCCTGCTCAAGTACCCAGAAAATGGAGAATGGACAATCAATGAGTCTCTGAAGAGGTGGATGCCCCACACCACATGGGATTATCATAGCAGACAAAGAACACAAACTCTCATTGTAAAACCTCTTGCCTGATTTACTGCACACCTTCCCTCATCTGCTGTAGATAGTGCACAGCCCCTGAGCGTCTCAAGAGCATGTTCATCCTGTGAACTCAGTGTGCCAAGCTATGTGGAGTACCTTATTTCTTTGAAAGCCAAGTGTTGAAAAGCTGTTGAAAAATGTATTCATGTGGTATCATAACAATGTGCACAAAAATCATTGTCAGTGTGAATCATTCAGCTCCCTTGACCAGTCTTATGATACTCTAATGGAGTAACTGTGACAGCAAATCACTATCTTTTGAACAAAGACAACATCAAGTGGCAAGACCCAAACTCGGCAGTCTTACCTGCTGACAGAAACAAATGGCAAGACTCAGACATCTGGATGCCATTCCTGGCACTGATGGAGAACAGTTTGTCCCTGCTTCCCCAGCTCCCACCATCAGCATGGCCTGCCCAGAATCTTCCACTCCTGTTACCTCCAGTTCCACCTCCTTGCACTCCACTGCCCAGCAGTGCTCCAACACTGTTGCACTCCTGACGAACATATATTTGTGTGGGCACCTGTGTTTTTCCCCTAGCCCCCACCCCAGGTGTGACCCCTTCTTTGCCAGTCCCTGCTTCCACTATGCAAGTAAAATTTTAACCCAGTGTCCAGCAAATCTCCACCTCACCTCCAAAAGCCATCTTCCAACTGTCCCCAGGCAGCTTGCCCAGCAAATCCTGTTTTCCACCTTCCCAAACGCCCATCAAATCTCACCCTGATTCTGCTGTTCAGTCTTCCCCATGCACAAGCCAGCTCTTTGCTGGCTCCCACTGCCAGACTCCTCCCTTAGTCCCCTCAGTCAGCCTCCCAGCCTCCCATGTCAACTACATTTCCGAACCCAGCTCATCAGAACTGTCACTCCTTCTACTTCCAAGCCTCCCACACAGCCCTACTGCTTCTCGTTCTCAGTTCTGTACTCAGCTAGTCCCAAGGCTCTGTGCTTCAGCTCCTATAGCTATTTTAGTATCTCCCAAACTAAACCGACACATTATCCTTTTCTTTCCCTCCCACATAAATTTTCACACTACTCATCAAGGCACAGTTTCTTCCTGCTTATTTTGTCCTTTGAATCTATTTTGCCAGCGATCCCCAACAATTTTCCCCAAAAAATATTGCTCATGCTTGCAATGTTATTTAAAATGGATGATTTACTCCCCTGTGCAAATCTTAGTCCAACAGAGGTTCCACTGAGGATGTACAAGAGGAAGCCTCTTAACCTCATTTTTCAAATGCTTGTTTCAAAACCTGCAAAGTACCTGAACTTCTTAGAGGAAAGGTCACTGCAAACATTTAAGATGAGAAAAAAGAGCACAGATTCCAAACCACTTTGTATAGGAAGCTATAAACTGTTTTGACTCAAAGGCTTTTAAAAAGGATCCTGAGTCAGATATCTAGCCTGAAACATTTCTGATGACATGTTAGAAATTTGACAAAATCCTATGTAGCTGCAAACTGTATTGAAAGTAGAAGAGTCAAGATGCATATCACCCTTAACAAAGCCAGAAAGTAAATGAAAGCCTCTCTCACTTTATTTCAGGCACCAGAATCCCTGTAACATCATCTTCTTAACTGATGAGAGCTATAGCAATGAATAATAGATTGCCAAAAAAATCTTCTAGATTCATTTCACCACGGTGTGATTTCAAAAGCTGAAGTTTATTTCTTGAAAGATTTTATGTCAATTTCTACATATATAAATAATAAAACCCCCCCCAACAATCAACAACCCCCACAAAGAAATCTCTCTTTGTGGAGATTAGCCTACACTAAGAAAATCACGGTAACACGAGAAGCTACTAACAAGCCAATTTTACTCACCAATCAGACAACCTCGGTGGAGATTCCCCATTCCTCTGAGTGATAGTAAATAGAAAATAAAGATTCAGACAAGGAAAGATGAGTCCAGACAGACACATTATTTTAATTTTATGCCTAGGTCTGCAAAGGAAATAGGGGTAAATTTTGTCTTCACCTTACCTGGACTTCAAGGCTAGGCAAAGTGTTTCTGTATATATCCACACAGATGCTTTCCCAGAAGAGCATCTAAAACACTCTGTATAAGCACTTTTTGTTTTGATTAAATTCCCAGCTAAAAGTTGCAGTGTTTCCCCATGAATGTTTAGATGAGCATCTCCAGTAGCACATTACAAAGCAATGTGCTGTGTCGGTCTCTAGGTATAATGAGCAGCATTTAACCACTCCCTGCATATGGTCTACAGCAGCTGTTAGAGCCTGCCAAGTGCTTCAGGAGCAGCCTGCCAAGAGGCTGCCTGCTAAGCAACCAAGAAAGAAGTTGGTCGAATATGAGGGCAAAGGTAATTTGGTTGAGAGTAACTGTGATGTGATAACATACATTATTTTTAGATGAAGAACAAGAAGAAAGATCAATTCAAACCCAATGGACTCTATACAAGAAGATTCCAATAAACCCTGGGAACTGGAAGGTAAGTTATCATGGGAAACATGTTGAAAGCAGAAGGAATTCAGTGGAGTTGGCAGCTCCTTAAAGAAATTATGTTTAGGGTACAAACACAAACAACCCCACACAGTAGGAGGATAGGAAGTATAGTCAGAGCTCAATTTGGCTAGGCAACATGGTTTTCAATGACCTGAAACACAAGAAGGAAATGTACAGAAAGTGGAAATCAGGTCAAACTCCTAAGAACAAGTATGAAAGAATAGCACAAGATGCTGAAACAAAGTCATAAAAGATAAAGCACAAATTTAACTGCAAAAATCAATGAATATAAGAGATAGCAAGAAACCAAATCTGTAAGAAACAGAAAAACCTGGTGAGAGTTCACTTGCAGAAGGCTGATGTACATTTTCCATCACTCTTCATAAAAGGGTGAACTGTGATTACATGACTAATAACTAAACTTAGTAACAAAGAATCCAGCTAAAATAGGAAAAGAACAGGTCTGAGAATAATTTGGAAATAATGCAATTCTCCTTGTCCTCAAGTATACCTCTACAGCATGTCTCCAGGAGAGCTCTCTAGTTGTTGTTGATATACTAAGTCTCCCTTGATTGAGATAGGAAGCTATACCCCTGCACAGATACAGATGACTATTTCACAGGCAGCTAAGAGGGGAAATGAGTTTTATACATAGTGACAGCTGCACCTGAGGAAGTGCACAATAAGATACCTTAAGAACAGAGAGAAGCAAGCTCAGAACTGCTAGTTTTGTCTGAAAACTCTCAAAAGGTTTGTGAGAAATGTGTGAAAACCACAGACTAAGATTAATTTTTAACCATTCACTATCAAACTCAAAAAACATAATCAGTCACATCCTAGGTGGGTCTGTTATGGGCCAAGTAATAGATCTGGGTCACTAATGACTTGGATAAAGGAATAGTTCTTCGACCTTGTAGATACAAATAGGTCCATGTGAACAGTAAACTCATTGCATGATACACTAAATTCAGAATGCTCTTGACAAATAAGATAGATTGTCTGTAGTAGAAAACACATTGCAGTGCACTTTTGTTTACAAGTGTGAGGTTCTAAGGGGGAATAATAGTTTGTAAAAAAGGTGGCAATCATGCTGCCAAAATGGGATAAGAGAGGTAACACTCAGTCACAAGCTATTAATGAAAAAAGTAGTTTTACATCATGTGTGTACAGGAATGCAAACTGCATATTGGGGACTTAAACTGTTTTGCTTGTATGATACACTAAGAAATACCTCCTATTATATTTCTGTCTAGCACAGCAGCCAGTAGCACTGTGTCCTGTTCAAGCAAAACTCTTCCAAGAGAAGGCAGACCAACTGGAAAGAGTCCAGGGAAGAACAGAGAAAGTGTTTAGTTGTCTGGGGGGAAAAAAAAAAGTTGGGATTTCTCAGTCTGAAGAACAGAAGAACAACTGAACACATGAAAAAATCACCTACATGAGTTACCTGTAAAGAGGTAGGGAGGGAGGGATTGCATTTTTGTATCTGTAGTGGATAAAGTGATGGATTCAGACTATGACACTGAAGGTTATATTATATATTAAGAAAATATTAATAATAATGACAATTAGATACTTTTTAATTTCTGAGGTACAGTTGATTCTTCCTTGGAGCTTCAGAATGCACAAGGTGAGGTCTTGAGTCTTTTCCAGTCTTCTTTTCTGTAAGTCTGTTGTTCACCCTGTGGTATAATTTAGAAGCCCCATCTTACCTCTCTAGAGAAGCTACATTTATCAAAGTTTTCATGCTAAATTATACAAAGTCAGTCTATTATTTCAATATAGGAATCAATGAAGCCACTACAAGGCTTAACACTGCCCAGATAGACATGATGTCACTTTTTCCTATGTAAATCCCATTAGCTCTCATGAGGAAGGTGGAGAATTTTGGCAAAAAGACAGTCTTCCAGAGGCTAGTGTTCTGATAATTGATGACTGTGCACTGCTTTTTCAAATGTCAGAAATGTGTTCTTTCCTGGGGATTCCTGTGGAGTCTGCTAGTGAAGTCTTAGCTGCTGAAGCCTGCCCTTCTGGTGAGCTCCTCCATAAACTGCTAGTAAGACACAGAGTTCGTTTGCCTCAGGGGACGCTTATGATGAGAGATGAAAGAGCACTAAACTGAGTGAAATGAGATGTGGGCAGAAAAAATGCAGACATACTTTGTTAGAGGGCTACAGAATTAAGTTGCTTCATCTCAGAATTTTTTCATGTGTTTTTCTTTGTATTAATCAAGCTTCAAGATCATAAAAGTTTAATAAAGTATCCTAACTCAGCAGAAAAGATTAAATTCCTTTTGCCTGCCTTCCACAAAAGATCCAAGTCTGTCAATGTATAGACATTCTTAGCAAAAGAATTGTATCATATAGATGACCAGATGAAAGAAAATCTCATTCAGGGGAGTTTGTTGTACTAATGCATTACAGAATTTCCAAGGATATGTGGCTTCATTGTCAGTGAATACCATTGTTGGTCTTTACCTGTATTGCCTCAGCAATTCACTTATGTAGACATGGTTGGGTGGTTTTCTACAGAAAAAAACCTCCTTGAAGCAGTTTTAACCTTGGAGAAAAATTCATTTTTTCATATTTTATAAACTATTTGAACCAGGAAAAATTGATTTGCTATTGCCTCCTGCCCTTCTGAATTTCTATTGAATGCTACATTTATCTAAAATACACAGTGTTTATATTCCTATGAAACACACTTTTGAAACTCAGAGGACCATCCAACATAGCATGAAATTCATGCCTATTCAATTTTTGAAACTCAGAGGACCATCTGACATAGCATGAAATTCATGCCTATTCAATATAGAGCACTACAGAAATCATACAACAAATATTGCTTTCACAGATTCACTATCCTAAGGTTTTTCTCTGGGTAAACCTTTTAGACTTTGCTGAAGAAAACTTGTGGTGAGGGCTAAGTATTTCACCTCAAACAAGGCTGAGCAGAAAGTTGCTCGAAGGAACAAATAAACAAAACCATTCATTTATTCTGTCAGAGTTTAAAGCCTTTATAAAAACAGGGGATAACTTTATATCTGAAAGCAATGTCTGTCATGCTGCCTGAGCATAGACCTTGCAACTAGAACCACACCATCTAAACCTGCCAGGCAACATCAGTGACAGCCCCAAAGGCAAATGCCAATAGCTGTGCTCCTGAGCCCACTGTCCAGTGAAATTAAGTGGAAGTTGTAACAAAACATTTGATAAACTTAAAGATCCTGAGGGCCAAGTTCCAGTACATGAAGCAATAGCCATCATGCGGGAAAAGTCCTGGTCCTTTGACGGTAAAAGAAGTCAACGATACTT